TATATCTGTTTTTATCCCCTGAAGGTATAGAGAATTAAATTATAATGTAGATGCTTCTAATTCTTTAGTAATTGAACAAAATTTGAACAGTTAGTAGTGAATATTCTATGCTTAGGTATTCTACAGTCTTTTGTACAGTAAGTACAGAAGCTCTATTAGGCAGTGTCACGGCAACTCAGTTTACCATTTGGTTACACTAATGTGGCTGCTTAATAGGCTGCTCTGATTTGTCCTTCCAGTCCTGGGTATTGATAGCTCTTGTTAAATAAAGATAAGAGTTAAGTTTCTTAATTCCTTTTTTGTTTCATTCAAATGTTCCTCTTCTAAATTTATTTTCACATTTATTACAGAAGAAAAGCAATGGGGCACCAAATGGATTTTATGCAGAAATTGATTGGGAAAGATACGTGAGTATCAGAAAATGTTTTTTGCTTTACTAAGTATTTCAGAACTTGAAAATGAGTTGAGGCATTCTTGTATTTAAATATGACATAGAAATAAGTGAAACATGCCATCTCGCCAGAAAGTGCCTGGCACGACTAGCATGGTAGACAGGCTAAGAGCAGTAAAGGCTGTTAGATATGGGTTCAAGACCTAGCCTCTCCACAAGTCATCTGTATGTGGTTTGGGGATAGTAATTTGCTGTCCAGCAAAAATTAAGTCAATAGCTACTTTACAAGATTATTGCAAGGATTCAATACACTATTTGCTCAAAATAGTGTTGTAAGGGAAGATATGAGATATTAAGAAAGGGTGATTTTTAAAAATTCTTTTTACCTAGAAAGACTCTCGTTATATTTTCTAGGATTCTTAAATATGCATGAATGTGATACTCTAAATAAACAAGTATGATAATTAAAATACCAAATTACTCATCAAGCACTACCCCCTCACATCTAGCACACAAATCCTAAACTCCAGTGCTGTCCCTGGTCAACATGCAAGTGCTTAATTGAAGCATAATTTTCCTCAAGTGTTGTTAGTCCTAAAAACTAATAAGGCCACACAGGAATTGCTATTATAATTATACATTAGATACAACTTTCTCTAAGTAATGAGAAGGGTTTTATTCTTAATACATTCTATCATCTTGCTTTTGGCAGGGAGAGGGTAAGAGCAGAGACAGCCTTAGGGAGGATTTGACCTTTAATAAAGGGAAGCCCTAAAGCAGGGGTGGGGAACATCCAGCTGGCGGGCCCTCAAAGGCCCACCCAATAATTTAGTCTGGCCCTGCCAAGGCATTAGGGGTGAATTCATTAAATGTTTGACCAAATATAGCAGGCTAATTTTTAAGTTGATAATTTGATGTTATAAATATCCAAATGGCCCTTGGCAGAAAAAAAAGGTCCCTACTCCTACACTAAAGTATAAATTGAGATTAACTGGATGAACATTTGAGGAAAATAATTCCAGGCAACCTGGCTGCGTGGCTCAGTGGTTGAGCATGGACCTATGAACCAGGAGGTCATGTTCAATTCCTAGTCAGGGCACATGCCCGGGTTTTGGGCTCGATCCCCAGTGTGGGGCCTGCAGGAGGAAGCCGATCAATGATTCTCTCTCATGATTGATGTTTCTATCTCCCTCTCCCTTCCTTTCTGAAATCAATAAAAATATTTTTTTAAAAAAATAAAGATAATTTCAGGCAGAGAGAATGGCATTTATAAGCACCCTGAAATGGAAAAAAAAAAACTTGCAGCATTCATATCATAAGTTAACAATGGGTCATAGTACTTACCATATAAAGGGAAGAAGGCTTTGTGGCTGATGGGGATCAGAAAAGAGAATCTCAAACCTGAGGCTAGAGAGAGGATCCCGCGCCAGGTCATGCAGGAGCTTGTGGGCTACACAGAGGCACTTCACTTTATATTTTTTAAAAAAAGTTTTTATTGACATTAGAAAGAGAGGAAGGGAAAGGGAGAGAGATAGAAACATCAATGATGAGAGAGAAACATAAACATTGAGCGGCTGCCTCCTACAAGTCCCCTACTGGGGATCGAGCCCGCAACTTGGGCATGTGCCTGACTGGGAATTGAACTGGTGACTTCTTGGTGCGTGGGTCGATGCTCAGCCACGGAGTCACACCAGCTGGGCATGGGCTCTTATTCTGAGTGCAGTGAGAAGCCACAGATACATTGTTAGCAGGTAAGTGCTCTTAATATACTTTTATTTAAAAAAGAAAGAAAAAGAAAGAAAGCTAAGTAATGAAGAAGGACAGAATGCATTCAGGCCATCTTCTCTCCCCCTGGTCATGGCACTTTCATGTTTCAGTGACTCCAAAATCTCTCTCCAGCTCTGTTCTCTCTGACTTGCAGGCCTATTACCTCAGCTTCAAAAGGGTCATTATTGAACTCTTCACCTTCTTCCCCTCTACAGTGTAGGCTATAGTCTCAGATACCTGGGATCAGGGAGTGGTTCTGCCATTTGCTGCGTGAGTTCCTTGAGAAATGGCATCTAGTTTCTCTTAGTTTCCTTCTTGGTAAATAGAATAATTCCACATATGATTGTTAAGAAGGTTCAATGAAGAAAAGTGTAGGTCATAGTACTTTCCTTATAATAGGAAGTAAAATATAATAACTAATTCTAATCATGCAAACTATCTTTTCTCTTTCCTGTCTTTTTCCAAAAATATTAGTTGTCTGCTGTTACAATTAGTTCAGCCAGGAGTACCAGCAGTCTCCCAGGATTTGAGGGTAGAAATCCTAGCGTTTTCCTGAACCCTCCCTCTCCTTTTTCTCCTATGATAAATCTGTTAATAAGACTAGCAGTTTGTCCTTCCAAATGTCCTTGATTCATCCCTTCCCACCACCACCAACTTTGTCTATCTTATCAGCACATCTTATGGGCACGATGCAAGTATTTTGAATTAGTTTTTTTTTTCTCCATTTCCTTCTGTGCCCAGTCTATCCTGAAGTGTGCTTCCCAAACACCTTAAGATGCTGCTTCCACATGCCCTCCCCTAAATGAGAAGCTGCAGTAACTATATCAAGTATGAACTCTTCCCCCAGCATGTTGGCCACCCATGGTCCTATTTCCCATTGCCTCTCACTGTACAGCTTCCTTTCCAGTCATGTTATCTGAATAAGGTTATCTGTTTCAGCCTTGGAGGTCTCAATACAGACTCTTCCTCACCAGTGAGTCCCTTCTGTACCCGCCTCTATCCCCAAAGGCACATGCAGATCCCTGATTCTTTCAAACCTCACTAATTTCCTCTTCCTTCACACTCCTATCATTGATGTCTTGTGTTTTGTATTTTGTATTTTTGTTTTTATTTTTTGCCTACCAAATACATTTCAATTTTCCAAAGGACAAGTAATTTCCATTTTATATCCCTTCATGTTGCTGAGCAAAGTCCTTCGCTCATAGAAAATGCATGGTAAATTCTTTCTGAATGTTTCCTTTCATTGACAGTTGTTGACTCCTAGTTTGTTTTCCCAATAGAAAGACTCCCCACATTTCCCTGAATAAATATCTATATCTATATCTATATCTATATCTATATACTGCCCAGCATTCACTTCCAAAAGTTAAAATCCTTATCTCCAAAAATAAGAGACATGTTTAGATCCTTAAGTAGAAGGCTCTAGAAGGAAAATGAATAATTCTTTGATTAATGTCAGGATAGTAATTGCATTATGTTCACTTGTATTTTATAGAACTCACCCGAGCTGGATGAAGAAGGCTACAGCATCAGACCCGAGGAACCCGGCTATATCCTTTCTTTATTTATTTTTTATTTTTTTCTCATAAAGCAGTATTATAAATTCAGGTTTTAAAAAGGTGTTGAAATAACCCTAGCTTCCCAATCCCTGTTGTCCATAATATTAGAGATGAATAAACAGCACAGAGAACAGCCTGAACACTAACAAGCAGGCATTTTGCCTCACTCTATTCATAGAAGAGAGAGAGGAGAAAGATAAAAATGTGCTGAAAAACAATTGTGCACATTGTGGATACTAGGTTGTCTGCTAAAGCCAGATGTGAAAGTGTCATTTATCATGACTGGCAAAAACCTGTTACTGTGCTCTCCCCACAGATCATCTCTGGGCAGAACAGGCCACACTCTGAAGCACTTAAAACTCATTACAAATCGTCCATTAAAATGATTTTCCTCTCTCCGTAGAAGGCTCAGCAGTGTGTATGCTGAGAGTGACACACCAAGTGGCTAATTACAGCAAAAATGTAGGACATTATAACTATTGCTCCTTGAAATTCACCATCCTTACTCTTGTTCCAGGGAAAGATGAATAAATTCTAACCCCTTCCTGATTTACTTTTCATTTTTTTATTTTTGTTAATCCTCATCTGAGAACACTTTTCCATTGATTTTCAGAAAGAGTGGGGAGGAGGGAGAGAGACAGAGAGAGAGAGAAACATCAATGTGAGAGAGACATCGATTGGTTGCCTCCTGCATGTGCCCTCAGTGATGCTTGGGAGCCTGCAACCGATCAAACCCAGGACCCTTTGGTTTTCAGGGAGATGCTCTATCCACTGAGCCAAACCAGCTAGAGCCTGACTTATTCTTTTATTTGTTTGTTTTGCTTTGATTTTCTACCTTCTTAAGGATACTTTTGCCACCACTATGTGCAATCACTCTTGTCTTATACTCATCACTGCCTCCCAGTAAAGAGTTATGTATCTTTAACTGTGTCCTACCTACCAAAGGAAAGCACTTTTATTCGTCAAGTGAATCAGAGGAGGAGGAAGAATCACACAAGAAATTTAATATCAAGATTAAGCCACTGCAGTCTAAAGACATTCTTAAGAACGCCGCAACTGTAGATGAACTGAAGGCATCGATAGGCAACATTGCACTTTCCCCATCACCAGTGGTGAGTGGTTTTTATGTCAAGCTTGGGTGAGGTTGGACACAGAGCTGTGTTCTGCCCATGAGCATTAAGTAGAGCAGATCCTTCTTACGCTGAAGGCTGCCTATGGTCCCCAGTTTATGAACTCTAGAACCCTTAAACAGCTTATTCTGGCTTTTGAAAGTTATGCTCATTTTATATTGCATTTCTTGTGCTTTTCAAAATAGTAAAAATGCATAGGGCCACATTTCCTTTTTACTTACTTTCCTGCAAGCATTTTCAAAAGAAGAAAAAAAAAACATCCAGACTTACTTCTGCAGCCATTGAAAACAATATAAAGTTTACATACTTACTAATAATGATATTTATTTAAAAACATATCTTACTATCTATTTTTATGACATAGCACATAGGAACTCCTGGGAAGAAAACCAAGGAAATTAATTTTCTTTAAAAACATCTCATTGTTATGCTTCAAAAATATAGTAGTCTAATATTGTCTAAAATTATTTTAAACCTCATAATCTTTATTATATTTTATTATCAAATTGTCTTAAGTACTCTTACCTTTTAGACACCTCAAATACAGGTATGTCTTATTTGTATTATTCAAATTGGTATTTTTTCCCACAATTTATACTTCCTCCAATTCCCATCTATTAAGTTTCTTTAGTTGTTGAATTCTTAAGTTCCAACATTTACAGTATTTTCTCTGTGGTGTTTGATAAATGATACAATTGTTTTCTAAAAATAGTTGTGAAGAGCAGCTGAAGGCTCTCAAACTAGCAGCTGGTATGTTCTTGGCATCTTCTTCAGAGAGATGTGATCTCTCTACAGCATTCCCCCTAAATAAGAAGTTAATAAATGTTGAACCACTTTTGACATGCTTCTGGAAATATCTCAACTAACCTTTCCAAAGGAGTTGTCATCCTCTCTCCTTTGATAGATGCCTGCCTGGGATGAATAAAGTCTCTAATGACACCTTCTAAAGTGCTTAGTGCTTATAATGGCCATTTTCACTACTGTTAGTGACAGCTAAAATGATTGCTAATAGTAATCAACCACAGCAAGTGATGTTTCAGGTCATTTTTAATCATATACTTTTATGTTAACTTAAAAAAAGGAGGCATGAAGTATATTAGCTTTTTCTCTCTTCTGCATGGAAGATACAGATTTTAACTTACATATTGGTCTGCAATACTAGTGATTTCTAGTAATGTGAGCATTTTAAATGCACACATTTTCACTTTTCAGTTGACATCTTTCAAATCATTTCTCACTTACTGAACCTTTTTTTATTAATTATAAAAATGTATTTAACTGCCCGAAACCAGTTTATATCCTCTTCTCTGTAGGTTGTAATAAATTTACTGGGCATTTGGAAGCTTCCTGAGATAAGTGCAAAAGATAAGTTTACAGGATTAAATGAACAAATCTGCATGAAAGAAAACTTACTAGAATAGCCAGACACATGGTAGATATTTGCTGAAAGCTAGTGGAATCTCGGAAAGAAGAAATGCCCTTTATCAGAAGAATGTGTATCTCCCAGTCGTCTGCTGGTTATTCCTCCAAACAGAAATGCTGCTGAGGA